GTATTGAATTAAATTTATTTTTAACAAGTAAAAAAGCAGTAAGTTCAGCCGGGCCGAACTTTTAATACCCTCCACCATTCGCAACGAATTTGGAAATTTTCAAAAAATAAAATCCTTAAAAAATTTTGTTAAAATTTTAAAAATACCGAATATAGCCGTTATATTGGGGTCTATACGACGTGGACATACGTAGGCATTGTTTGTCGTAAGCCATTACCATATTCAAATTCGAAACTTGAAATAAACGGTGAATAAGGTAGCTAAAATCATCAGAACATCGTATATTAGGAGGTGCCGTTAAATTGGAGCTGTGCGAAGACCTGGACCAGCATAGACAATTTTCTGTCACAGGCTGTAGCATCCATTACGAACTTCAAATACCTCATCTCAAACAATTTCGGTGGGTATTGTACCTAAAATCGTCAAAATACCGAATGTAGGGAGGTACTGATATATGGGGCCTATGCGAAGACCTGGACCCGCACAGACAGTTTTCTGTCACAGACTGTAGTTCCCATAACGAACTTCAAATACCACTTTTGAAACAATTCCGGTGAATAATGTCGCTAAAATCATCAAAATACTGAATATAGGGAGGTACCGTTATATAGGGGCTATACGAAGACGTGGACCTGCACAGACAATTTTCTGTCTTAGGGTGTAGTGTCCATTTGGAACTTCAAATACTAAATTTTAAATTACTTCCGGGAAAAAGGTCGCTAAAATCATCAAAATACCGAATATCGGGAGGTACCGTTATACGGGAGGTACCGTTATATGGACTTGCACAGACAATTTTCTATCTTAGGGTGTAGTATCCATTTGGAACTTCAAATACCAAATTTGGAACAATTTCGGTGAATAATGTCGCTAAAATCATCAAAATACCGAATATTGGGAGGTACCGTTATATGGGGGCTATATGAAAACGTGGACCTACATGGCTCATTTACGAACTTAACCTGCCTACTGGAAAAATAAACATGTGTGCAAAATTTTAGCCATCTATCTCAGATCATTCGAAAGATAGCGTGATTACAACAGACAGACAGACAGACGGACATCGCTAAATCGACTTAGAATTTTACGCTGATCAAGAATATATATACTTTGTTGGGTCTGACATTAGTATTTCGAGGAGTTACAAACGGAATGACAAAGTTAATATACCCTCCATAGTATGGTGGAGGGTATAAAAATCACTTGATAACCTGCTAATTTCTTGTCGAGCCTTTGGACTCACACACAATTCAATTCCACACCGTATTCCTAACACCTTTCCCTCCTCTCTTTTTTATTGTACAAAAAACTTATTATTTGCGATTTGCCAAAACTTTTTGCTAACATGCAAATCATAAAATTTAAAGTGCCAACCAGCAATACCAGCGAAAACGAAGCAAATAAAAAACATGTGCGTCATTGTTTGTAATGGCAATAATTTGCATAGAATTGCTCTAAAGAAAACGCGACAACTATTGAAGAACTAAAAGCAACAACAAAAAAAAATAACAATAGCATTTTCAACTAGCCAGCCAGCCAGCCAACCAATATGACATATCGACATTTATTTCACTCTCTATTCAATTGTTTGTTTATATTTTCATAAGTCTGTCGTTTAGGTGTCAAACGACCGACCAACAACAACTACCATAATAACAATAACAATGCAAAATAAACTATAAATATTTACTAAAAGTGGTCATTGGTTTGTGAACTAAAGGTTAGTTTCGGTTCAGTGCTGTGGTAATGGTTGTGTTTGACTTTGTTTTTTTATTTTCCGAATGGGTCGGGTATTCGTTGGAGAAGTTCAAAGTTTTTAGTACTGATTCATTGACATTGAAAATGTGTTGCGTTCTCGCCACGAGACATAGTGAATGGAATAGGTTTTGTATATATTTGTTGAAAAATGTTCTTTAAAAATGCACGATTATTTCTCTGATAGTCCTTGAAAAATATTCTTTAAAAATCCACATTTATTTGCTCTGAGAGTCCTTGAAAAATATTCTTTAAAAATCCACATTTATTTGCTCTGATAGTCCTTGAAAAATATTCTTTAAAAATCCACGTTTATTTGCTCTGATAGTCCTTGAAAAATATTCTTTAAAAATCCACATTTATTTGCTCTTATAGTCCTTGAAAAATATTCTTTAAAAATCCACATTTATTTGCTCTGATAGTCCTTGAAAAATATTCTTTAAAAATCCACGTTTATTTGCTCTGATAGTCCTTGAAAAATATTCTTTAAAAATCCACATTTATTTGCTCTGATAGTCCTTGAAAAATATTCTTTAAAAATCCACGATCATTTATTCTGATAAACCTTGAAAAACATTCGTTAGAAATTCGCGATTATTTGCTCTGATGGTCCTTTTAAAAAATATTCTTAAAAATCGACGATCATTTGCCCTGAAAATCCTCGAAAAAAAAAATTATTTAAAAATCCACATTTATTCGCTCTGATAGTCCTTGAAAAATATTCTTTAAAAATCCATGTTTATTTGCTCTGATAGTCCTTGAAAAATACTCTTTAAAAATCCACGACAATTTGCTCTATGAGTCCTCGGAAAAATATATTTTAAAAATCCACGATTATTTCCTCAGATACTCTTTGAAAAATATTCTTTAAACCCCACGATTGTTTGCTCTGATAGTCCTTGAAAAATATCCTTTAAAAATTCACGATCATTTACTCTGATAAACCTTGAAAAACATTCGTTAGAAATTCGCGATTATTTGCTCTGATGGTCCTTGTAAAAAATGTTCTTAAAAATCGACGATCATTTGCCCTGATAATCCTTGAAAAAAATTTTAAAAAATCCACGTTTATTTGCTCTGATAGTCCTTGAGAAACATTCTTGCGAAATCTATGATAAATTACTTTTATAGTCCCTAGAATACATTCTTTAAAATTATGCGGTTATGTGCTCTGATAGTCCTTGAAAAAATCTTTAAAAAATCACGATTATGTGCTCTGATAATCCTCGGAGAATCGGGTGATTTTTAAATCGAATTTTTAACTTTTCAATATTTGAAAGGAATTACTCCTCGTAGGCATAGCTATACATGGTGAGATGAAAAATCTGCAACCAACTACAGACTGCCATCATTTCTAAACCACTCGTCCGACAGCTGTAAAAATTATTCCAGTGACAGCTTATTCCTGATGGAATTCAAGCGTGTTAGTGTGATTTCTTTTTATTTGGCTGGAAAACCACAAGTGGCTACAGTTAGAGCACTCCAGCATTTAAATGTGAATAAATACTTTGTGTCTCGTACCATCGCCCGTTACCGTCATACCGTAGCCCGACGTCAAGGAAGTGGACGGAAGAAAACGCAACATCAGCAGAAATGGTTCGAAAAGTAAATAAGCGACTTGATCGGCTGAACATATTGCAATATTCCATTCGGAATTGAAAAATGAGCTCGGGGTAAAGCCATTGAGATTCCAAAAAGTGCAAAAACTTACACAGCAACAGGATGAAAATAGACTTAAAAGAGCTAAAGAGTTGCTTCGTTTGGCCGAAAGTGGTGAACTGTCGAATTTGGTTTTCTCCGATGGGAAAACATTCGTTGTCCAGCAGTTTGTAAACAAACAAAATGATCGTGTTTACTTGCCAAAGAGATCAGATGTGCAACTTCGGTTGGCTACCAGAACTCAAGCGCCGGCCATGGTGATGGGGTGGGCAGCCATAACAGTTGATGGTCGCTATCCGCTCGTATTAATCGACCGTGGCATCAGAATAAATGCCGAATATTGTCGCGAAAATATTCTGGAGGGTGTATTAAAGCCTTGGGCACGCAAACATTTTGGCCGCAGATTTTGGACTTTCCAAGAGGACTCAGAATCATCGCACTCAGCACGCGCCACCCAACAATGGTTACAAAATGAGGTTCCTCGCTTCCTTTCCAGCGCATAATGACCACCAAAATCTCCGGATAACAATCCCTTGGATTTTGGAAAGCAAGGTTGGCACTAAAAAATATCAAAATGTCGATCACCTCAAGCAAGCGCTTCGTCCGGAATGGGTCCAAATATCGTAGAGCAACATTTGAGCAGCGTGTGACGGTTTCATTGGCCGTTTGTAGGCCATAATTCGTGCCAAAGGTGACCAAATGTAAACATATTCTAAAATTTGATGATATTTCGACATTTCTTGCTTTCATTCAATGAAATTAAAAAAAAATGTAACAATTATGGCGTTTGACTTTGTTGCAGTTTTTTTTATCTCACCCTGTATACCTTCTGATTTTCGATATGGTGAAGCTTTCAGCCTCTATTTTCCTGTCGATTCCAGCCGACTTTAGCTCATTATGATCCTACCACTCGTTTTTGGAGGTTTTCAAAGTCCTAGCCGCATGTTTCGCAAAAATATCCCATATTCTTAAAGTTTCTCGACGATATGGTGTAATCTCCAAATTTTATATTTGAGCCTTATCCAAATTTTGATTTGGACCTAATCAAAATTTTCCTATGAGAGAGAGGCAATTAAAATGTCGACCCATATTCTTAAAGTTTCTCGACGATATGGTGTAATCTCCAAATTTTATATTTGAGCCTCCTAATCCAAATTTTGATTTGGTCCTTATCAAAGTTTTCCCATGAGAGAGAGGCTGTTCAAAATTCGACCCCACCAAGGTGTTACATCAAATATATGTAAGTGTGTTATGTGATTTCTATAATTTTATTATTGTAAGTGTATTTAAACGGTGCAATCAACCAATAACACCCACACTCATACGCACACAACACACCCAACAACACAGTGTCTATTATTAATTCTGTTCACACAAGTATTGATTTGTTGTTTTTCTATTTAAAAAGTGCTAGATGTTTTAATAAAATTACAATAAACAATTTGCAAGTCGGGACACACACACATAGTAGTGGAGTAGGTGAGTTGGGGGGTGGAGAGAAGGTGACAGATATTTTTTTGTTCATTACAAATAACAACAATAGATAGTAAATAGGAGAGAGAAGAATAAATGTTAAAATTTATCACCTGGAGATGATGGACCCGGACTGTAGCTTAAACTATCGGTCGATGACAATTTGGGCAAGTGGGCAGTTTTTAAAGATGGACGTCTCATGAATTTGAATTCAAAAGCTAAATTAATATAAACGAAGGGAGGGATTCATATTTATTTATTTGATTCGACTTAAAACTGTTTTGGTTTATAAGAAATACTACAGTGATTTCAATGCCAGCAAACCAAAAAAAAAAAAAAAGACGACAACAACAGTAACAACCACAATTTGATAATAATAATAAAACTTATACATGATGATTTACACATAGAGACAGAGATGAGGATGATGATACTGCTGATACTAATAGAGATGACGTGAAATAATGTAAACGGAATACAAAAACAAATGACAAAGAAAGTGAAAACAAGAGAAGAATAGATGGACATACAAAAAAATGTTTATTAAATAAATGTCTACCCTAAAATTTAAATAAAAGGGAAATGTGACGGAAAAGGGGAGAGGTGGGGAGGGAGGGTTTCAATTAAAACTGATTACGAAAAAGTTCTTCCGGTTTATGGAATTCGTAGAATTAACCAGAGGAATGTTTGTACAATTTTTTGCTTATTAGCGAAATGGATTCAAAACAAAAAATGTATCAAAATTAATTAAGAATGTATGTGAAAGATTTTTCTTTGAGTTGTTAAAAGGAGTTGTTTTGATAAAAATTCTGGGGAAATTATTTTCACACAAAAAAAAAGTAAAAAAGCGGTAACTTCGGCCGCGCCGAACTTTGAATACCCTCCACCAATTGGAACGAACTTGGCAATTTTCAAAAACAATAAAATCCGTTAAAAATTCTGTAGCCGTTGTATTAGGGTCTATACGACGACGTGGACCTGTACAGGCAACTTTTGTCATAAGCCATAACAATATTCAAATGCGAAACTTGAAAAAAAATGAATAATTTAGCTGAAATCATCAGGTGGAGGTACTATTATATGGGGGCTATACCAAAAAAATAGACCTGCACAGACAATTTTCTGCCTTAGGCTCCCTTATCCATTACGAACTTCAAATACCAAATTTGAAAAAATTCCAGTGAAAGCGAAAGTAATAAATAATGTAGCTAAAATCATCAACATAGGGAGGTACTATTATATGGGGGCTATACCAAAATATGGACCTGCACAACCGATTTTCTGCCTTAGGCTGCCGTATCCATTACGAACTTCAAATACCAAATTTGAAACAATTCCGGTGAATAATGTCGTTATCATCAAATCATCAAAACACCAAATATTGATAGGTACCGTTATATGGGGCTATACGAAAACGTGGACCTACACGGCTCAAATACCAAAAGTCCTGCATAATATACATTTGAGTAAAATTTTATCAATCTGCTTCATTTCGTTCGGAAGCTAGAGTAATTTCCACATTTCAGACTGCTGTCATTTCTAAGCCACTCGTTTGACAGCTGTTAAAATTATTCCATTGACAGCTCGTTATATTGTTTGCAAGCGTACAAAAGCATTTTGCTGAAAATTTTCCAAAAAAAAGGTTATTCGTGATAGAATTCAAGCGTGATAGCGTGATTTCTTTATATTTGGCTTTAAAGCCACAAGTAGCTATCGTTGGAGCACTCCAGCATTTAAATGTGAATAAATCTTTTGTGTCTCGTACCATCGCTCGTTACCGTAATACTGGTAGTGTAGCCTGACGTCAAGGAAGTGGACGGAAGAAAACAGCAACATCAGCAGAAATGGTTCGAAAATTAAAGAAGCGACTTGATCGAAACCCTCGTCGCAGTGGCTGAAAAATGGCTCGTGAGCTGAACATATCGCAATATTCCATTCGGCAAATATGGAAAAATGAGCTCGGGGTAAAGCCATTTAAATTCTAAAAAGAGCAAAAACTTACACCGCAACTGAAAGAAAATAGACTCAAAAGAGCTAAAGAGTTGTCCAGCAAACAAAATTATCGTGTTGATGATTACTTGCCAAAGAGGATGATGATTACTTGCCGAAAATGTGCACCTTCGGTTGGCCACCGGAAGTCAAGCGCCGGCCATGGTGGTGGTGTGGGCCACCATAACAGCAGATGGTCGCTCTCCGCACGTATTAATCGACCGTGGCATCAGAATAAATGCCGAATATTATCGCGAAAATATTCTGGAGGGTGTATTAAAGCCTTGGGCACGCAAAGATTTTAGCCGCAAACCTTGGACATACCAACAGAAGTCAGCACCATCGCACTCAGCACGCGCCACCAAGGAATGGTTACAAAATGAGGTTCCTCGCTTCATTTCCAGCGCACAATTGCCACCCAAATCTCCGGATACCAATCCGTTGGACTAGTGTGTCTGGAGTATTTTGGAAAGCAAAGTTGGCACCAAAAAATACCAATGTGTCGATCACCTCAAGCAAGCGCTTTTTCCGGGAATGGGCCAAAATACCGCAGAGCAACATTCGGGCAGCGTGTGACGTTTTCATTGGCCGTTGAAGGTCATAAAACAGTAAAAAATTAAAGACATTTTAATTTATTTTAGATTTTATGAAATTTCCAAACTTTCCGTACAAATTTGAAATCTACAAAAAAATCGCTAAATAAAAACATTTGGTCCTATTACGGTTGTCGTAGTCGTCACAGAATTAAGTCGAGGCGACAATAACGGTATTAGGTTTGTCGTTTTTATTTGTCGATAGCGATGACTGATTGCTATTACCATTGTCAACACAACAGACGACTTGAAGTCGTTTTTAGAAAACTGCTACTGTGATTCCCCAGATTTTTGACTTGACCACTTACCCGATGTAGGCAATATAGATATCGTTTGAAAGCTATCAAAGAAGTGGTCACATAATGAGGTCGAAGGCCGGCTACTTACAACAACTGTGAAATTTAGAAAACTTTAGGTCGCGTAGCAGGTTGAACTTGCCCAGGGAGATCATCTTTGGACCCAGAAAAGGTATTAGCATAAATTGTACCATTTTGGAAAGGTAAGAGTGTCAGCTTTTATTTGACATCAGTTTTCGATTTTTTGGGGACTTTATAAAAAATCCGTGTCTAAAAAATCGATAATTTGACTATAAGTTTCGAAGCGCTTTAAATAACTCCATCAAGTGACAACTTGTTGGATAAGTATTTTCAAAAAAAATACCTATATTGTATACATTGGGTAGGTGATCCAGGTCTTAAATCCGGGCTTTCGGGTCAAAAATCTAGGGTCCCCGGTTTGCGGAAAATTAAAGATAACCAGTAAAGAAAGTCCTAAATTCGGGCGGGGCCGATTTTATGATACCCTACACCACTTTACTAATTTAGTTGAGCTCCACTTAATAATTAAAAGTTTTTATGGGAGAACTCAATCACACACGCCATGATTATAATTAGAATTTTAAATTCAAAGGACTAAATATGCCGAAGCATTTGTATCTTTTAAATTCGGACTTGTATTGCCTATTTGGTGCGAAATTAATTTGAAATCGGATAAAAATATATATGGGAACTATATCAAAATCTGAACCGATCTCGATAAAATTTGACAAAGATATTTCTGAGCTGTATTTGATATATTTCCCTGAATATCGTTGTTACGGAGTGCATATTACGGCTGTGGGTAACAAATACAATAAATCGGATGAACAATATGTATGGGAGCTATAACTATATCTGAACCGATCTTCACCAAATTTGGCATACTACCTTCTAGACTAAATTTGGTCGTATGTGCCAAATTCCATCCCATTTGGGCAAATATTAGACGATTGGTGCACAATAAATGGTAAATCGGACGAAGTTATATATGGGAGCTATATCCAAATCTGAACCGATCTCGATAAAATTTAGCAAAGGTATTTCTGAGCTGCATTTGATATATTTCCCCAAATATTGTTGTTACAGAGTGCATATTACGGCTGCGGAGGACAAAAATAACAAATCGGATGAACAATATATATGGGAGCTATAGCTATATCTGAACCGATTTCGATAAAATTTGGCATACTTATTTTCAGGCCTAATTCCATACTATTCGGGCTGATATTACACGTTTGGTGCACAATAAAAGGCAAATCGGACGAAGATATATATGGGAGCTATATCTAAATTTTTACCGATTATCTCCAATTCCATTAGGGTTCGTCCTTGGGCCAAACAAATTTTGTTTGCAAAATTTCATCTCAATCGGATAATAAATGCGAACGGACAGACGGACTGACATGCATAAATCAACTCAGAAAGTGATTCTATGCAGATCATCAAAAGGAACTATGGGTCTATCTCGTTTCCTTTTGCCTGTTACAAACAAATGCACAAAGACATAATACCCTGACCACCTTGTGGTGTAGGGTATAAAAAGGCCCACTGAACAGAAACTAAGAATAAAGCGGCGTTGATGCTGGGCGTAAATTAATGGTTTCAAGGATGGACCTTAGAGGAAAAAAAGAATTTCAGACTTAATAATTTTTCAAATTGTCTGAAAAATTATCGCTCAATTGAACGAAATTACAGAATTTTTCCATCCTCCTTAGTAGCCCTTTGTGAACGGGAGAAATATGGACGTTCGCAGGGTTGGACGCCGAACCCCCTACAAAATAGTTGCTATTCTGACAATTTTTGGGTTTCTCCACCTTGGTGTTGTTGGCCTCTCCTGAGTTTTGTTATTTTCTTATTATCTTAAAATCGAATACCACCAGTAGACAGAAGCACTTCCAAGGTTATCTGTAGATAAAAAAAAAACTCCTAAGAGTAGTCTGACTATCTTCTACAGATAGAAGTTGGAAGATTTCAAAGATGTCTTAGATTCCTTTTATAAACGTCTGACTTCTGAGCTTTGGATTTTAATAAGTTACACCAGAATAAAATAGTATATTGTTATATTTTTGAAATTATTCATTTTTTAATCTCTATTCTGTGGCGAATGTATGAATAAGTGCTATATGTTTAGCACCTATTCGTATGGGACAGAAAATATTTTTCATTGTGGTCTCATTGTAAAGGTGAATCATCTGTTGGTTCATATACCCAACCCACCTCCTAGAATCTATAAATAATCCATCATTTCTATACATATTTCCCTGAGATTGAAAAGCGCTCAATCAATTCACACCAATACCAATAGGACACCACAAATCC